CCCCAGCCTCCCAGCCACAGGGGTTCAAACTTCCCCTTGTCTGGAAGACACGAATAGTATCCCAAAAAGCCTGCTTTCTGTGGTTGGACTAATTCATGGAGAGTCCAGGGGCCTGAGGCTGGTGACCGATCCTTCTCTAGACCTATGCTGGATTCCACTTCAAACTATGCAGCCAGTCCAGGCACCCTCCCACCCCTAAAGCTGGCCCCGCATCACCCGCATTATGAGACTTCCATGGAGCTGCTGGTCCGGGAAGTCAGGTGCGGCTCTGTCTCTAATTCCCACTTGAGGTCTGGTCTGGCGGGGACCTGGGGACCAGATCTGAAAGCAGAGGCAGGCAGGGCTCAGGAGAGAAGTGGCCTCCAAAAGTTAAAAACACCATTTGTTTGCACCCAACTTGCTACATGGAAGATGCGGAACATTGTTGTCGTGGATGCTAAAGTAACGCGGCCCAGTAAAGGCCGTCCCCTCGGTGAGGGATCACCGCATTGGCACAGTGCCATGCCCTGCCTTATTTTTATCTCCATATGACATTAATTCATGGGATGACTAAAGAAATTAAATCGACCGATCTCCGTACCATAATTTTACTGTGACTGCCTTAGGTTCTATTTTGTTAACATTTAGAAAAGGACAAACTCGGGGAACGTGGATTTTATCCGCAGGTGTTGGAATCCCACTGGCATTTCCGTGAGGCTTGTCCTTGAGCTTCAGCGCCACCGCATTGTAGGAGTGGTTCCCTGGCTTTGCTCATTGGCACCTCGTGATTCCCAACATTCTGTCTTCCATTGCTTCGTGTCTGAAATGAGCCCCATTCTAAACCATCCCATTTTGTATTCTGGGCTAATCATACGGACTCACAGAGATCTGTACAGACGGATGGCACAGTTGTGATCACAGACACTGTCTGATAAAAAGATAATGTAAGTACTTCACTCCTCACACAGACCAGACAGAACCGGCGTTTGGGGTGTAGATGACCAGTTGTCTAATACTTTCTTTTCCTTGAACTAATCTTGATAAGCTGAGCCTCCTTCTCTCCCATCCTCTCCCTCGCCCCTTCTCTCAGTAGTGGGGCCTAGGGAAGGGGCAGGGGGAGAGGGAGAAGGAGGGAAGTGGGAGAGGGAGAGAGAGAGAGAAGAAAACCGAAAGGGACTTAATTGACAAAATGCCCCCACACTAAGCTGGGAGTGCAGCTCTGCCTGTTGTCTGGGCCCTGCGCCCTGGGTGCGGTTTCTCCGGTCTGACCGGCAGTGTCCCACACCCGCACTGCCCAGCACGTTGGAATAGCAATGGTGTTTCGCGACACCTTGCTGTCTGACCAGCCAGTCGGCCTCAGCACTTGCCAAACCAAGCCAACATCACTTCTGTCTCCTGTCCGTGTTGTTCTCACGGACAGTGGACTTTGTGCGCATTGATGGTCCTCTGGGGACCTTTTCCTTCTTCCGGGTGGGGTGTTTGCTGCTTCCGAAGGTTCCCAGCACACTGCGGGAGAGAGAACTTCCTATAGAGGTTCCAGTACCTCGCTTGGGTTTTGTGTTTATTGGTCTCAGGCTCTCACTGAAATCCCCACAGATGAGTGGATAATGGATAATATAGCTGTTGAATAAATAAGTGCATCTGTAAGAGCCACATTGGTACTAAGAGTTGCATTCTACTTTTGAATCCTATATTTATTTCACTCTTGTGCCTGCATTTCCCTAGGAAAAGAAATATTGTTTTTGCATGTTAAGTATTAGCTTTAATTTATACAGAAGGAAGTACTTAAGATTAATCTCCCATAGATGGTACTATGCACTGGAAACTACCAAAAAAAAAAAAAAGGAGCCACAGACCCATTCCTGGTCATCCAGCGTGAAGAGCTTAAGCGTTGCATAGCAAACTCAAAAAAAGGGATAAGCTCTCTGAGTGTAAGAAATAAAAATGCAGATTAAAATTAAACATAGGCATGCAGTTCAGTTTGATTATCTTGACCATGAAGTTCTGGTGGATAGAAATACAGATTTTGTTTAGGAAGCTTGGGTATGAAATAGACATGACTTCCAAGTTGCAAACATTTTTGAACAAAAAATGAAAATATCATTTTGATCATCTAGTAGTGTATATTCAAGTAATTAAAATAAAATGATGATAATATGATGATGATGATGATGATGATGATGAAGATGGAGGAGGTGGAGAACAAGTGACTTGTGAAACATTTTCTTCATCCAGACTCTTGGGTTTTCAGAAGACAGAATTGTTTCCAAGTATTTGCCAGTACCGGAAACAAAGTCACAAGTGAAGGAAGATTGCCGCTGAATTTGGGCCTGTGCCCTGGATATTCACAGCTATTTATTTGCTTATTTGTTCTTTGTCATCCACCCATCCATTCATCCAACCATCCATTTATGAATTCATTGTGTGTTTTTCTTAATCATTCTAGGAGTCAAACCCAGGGTCTTAACTACAGTGTTCTACTACTGAACTATACCCCCTTTCTAGATTTTTTAAATTCACAAAGTCCTGAGTTATTTGTGGCAGGTTATGTGTAAGTAACTGTATAAAGTGGAGAGTTGGATTTTTAGCAGTATGGGAATTTGAACTCAGTGCCTTGCATTTGCTAGTCGACACAGTATCACTTGATCTCCTTATTAGTTGAGAGAGGCTTTTGGTAACTTTTCCCTAGGCTGACCTTGAACAAAGCCTCCCTGATCTCTGCTTCCCAAGGAGATGGCATAACAGTATACATGGTACCTCATATACCTAAAACCAGGTCGCTGTTTAAATGTGTGACTTCACACAGATAACCACTCAGATCTGTATCCCTGAGGAGGGCTCTTCTTCTTAATGCGCATCACCCCAGTGCAGCGCATGTGGGTAGTGTTCCGGGCCTGTGGAGGGCTTTGTGCTGCTCTCTGTTTGGTTTCCGCGGTAAGCGGAGCGAGTTTTGATGATGGCCTGATAACCCCATGATTAAGTTCCGTGTGTTGCATCTCTTGCAGGTACTGTGGTCTTTGGAGCTGGGTCACTGGATTTCTGAGGAACCTTTTGAACTTTCAACTCACTTCCCTGCTGCTCCTGTAAGTCGCTGTCGTGACAATCAATGCAGTTTGGTGTTCTCGGGAAATTCTTAGAAGCATAGTGCAACTTACTAACAGCAGGCATGCTGAAACTAAGAACACATATTTACACGATGTAGGAATGCTCACCTACTTACCTGTAGGAGCACATGTGTGGATACTCTGTGAAAAGTAGTGAAAATGTGATTACAAAGGCCCACAGGATAAAGAAAACAGACATGAAGAAACTAGATTCTCAGAAAGGAAAGGTAGCAATATAGTTTAATTTTTGTTCTAAAAAGGATGCTTTTGTTGTAAGTGGAAGTTTCACGCGTAGATACAAATATTGTGCCTTGATTGTGGTGTGGTCATTATACTTTGATTTCTCTTTTCCTAAATGCCACTTAAATGTTACTGACTAGTAAGAATTTCAGACGGTTAATGAGAAGTTCCAGGTTCTAAATTTTTCAGATTGAGGATACAAAAGTGAGTAGAGTCTGGTTTGATTGGGAGCTGGACTCTGTAGAAGCTGCCTTCTGTTTTCAAGATTGTTGACTAGTCTGAGGCAGTCTGTTCTTGTAAAAGGTGAGGGTCTGCAAGGCCAGTGGGAGGTCCGCAGGGCTCCTGTTGTGCAGTTACCCGGCGCGGCCCCTCAGAGGCCCACTCTGTGTCCTCACTGTCGCTGACGAGGTGGTTGCTTGTTTCTTTTCTCATGTTTAAGGTGACTGTTGTGATTTCCTTTTGACTTTGTAAATTTTTTTTAAAGAGAGGAAATAAGAAGTTCTCCCAGGGAGACTGTTTGTTTGAACTCCTGAGTAAGGAATTGAAGTGTAAAGTGAAAACACCAATTCCTCCCATTCCTGTGTCAAGAGATTGTGGGTAACCCCGACCAGTGAGCAGTACGGTAGCACAGCTAGTCTCTGGTATCCGCACACGAAGCCGCATGTCCTCCCGTTTCTCCTGCATTCTCCTCTCCCCCCTTGCTGGATACCTGCGCTGTGGCTGTGGAGCTCTGGAGCCTCCTGAGTATCTCGTGCATTTCTAACTTGATAGGCCCGTGACGCCCCTGTCGAGGTTTTCAAGCTCTCTTCAGCATGGTGGGAGGGTCCCCGGCCGGACTCTGAGCGCGCAGCAGCTCACCAGGTCCTGATGCTGAGGCTGGGGTGGCAGGGATAAGCCGCATCCGCAGAGGAAAATGGGGCAGGAAGCGAGGAAGACAGACACGCAGGAAGTGCCAGCAACAGACGACCCCAGACTTCCTCTCCACTGACTCAGATTCCCTGCACAGATGGCATTAGTAAAGATGCACTATGCAAACTGCAAAAGAAGGTAAACCGAAGGGACTATATTTGCAGTCCCAAGCATTTACCAGTGTTCCCAGATTTTTTTCCACACATTTGAGTAGACTGTGCATAGTTGGTTTCATTTTGCATTCTAAAGCATTTCATTTGCTAATGAGCTTCAGCATATTACTAAGGTGAATTATATTTCTCCTTAATAAATTTAGAGACGAGTCCTGAGACTATAGCTTTGTATTTTTGTTTTTGGTCAGTCGTGGGGCTTGAACTCTGGGCCTGGGCGCTGTCCCTCAGCTCTTCACTAGCCCTCTACCCCTTGAGCCACAGCGCCACTTCCAGCCTTTTCTCTGTATGTGGTGCTGAGAAATCGAACCCCAGGCTTCATGCATGCAGGGCAAGCACTGTACCACTGAGCCACCTTTCTAGCCAGAGAATATAGCTTGTAAGTGGCTTAAACAGAATGATTTTTGTCAGTATAAATTAAATGTTAGCATAGTTTTCTAAAATATGTCTTACTAGAAGAGAAAATAGACCTCTGCATGAAACTAAACGTATAATTTTCCCATTAAATATCAAATGTTTCCTTGTCATGAGGCACAGTTGTGTCATAACCAAATTACAAAAACTGTAAATATTATCATGAAAGTTAAACATCAGTTCATCTAATAAGTTATATTTAATTACTAAAAATACCTTCATATTTCACAGCCAGGCCAAACAGATAGTAAATCATCATACAAACACCCACCCAGTGATTTCAGAGCTCCTGGAAGTTCTCACTTTTTGCAGTATATATTCTTTGAGCATTAAATTAAAACTAAGCAGTCAACAGATAATATAAATATACTGTTTCAGAAGGAACATTTGAAGCACCTAAGAGGAATAAAAAATGCACTTTTTTCAGAATATTGAACTGTGATAGCCACTTCCTGGGAATCCCTGAATGCACGTATATGTTTTATGGCTTACAGAGTGTGGTATTCCTTTTCAGTGAGCTAGCGAGGTGAGCTCAGGACCCAGGGCTGTACATAGTCTGCAGACAGTGACAGTGCCTGGAGGAGCACGGCTCCGGGACCCTGTGTGGCACTGGCATTCTGCTTTCCAGTTATTTACGACAGCTCGCCCGGGACGTGCTTGGTTGTGGTGTAGACGCACAGGCTGCAGTGGTTGGGGTGACGAGCCCTGAATTCGCCTCTGTGAGACCACAGAGCCACGGCACGGCTTCCTCGGGTTTCCCGAGGTTCACTGAGCGAGGCAGGCCCAAGTGGCGAGGTGCTCGGGCCCTCTCGGGCCTGCAGCTCCCGAGCACCCAGGCGGTGTCTGGTCGACGCTTTGGGCGTAGAACAGTCTTCCTGGTGCAGACGCTCAGAAGTCTGCTGGTCGGATCATCATGGTTGTAGCCTTGAGTGAGTAGCCTGACCCCCTCCAGTAATACCACTTAATACCGTTGAACTTGTTCGTGTTCTGCCTCTGTGGGTAGTACATTCCATTCAAGTTCGAAGGCCCACACGCATCAAACCACCAACCTGTGGGAGCAGAGCATCAAAGGAGTTAGGACCAAGCGGAGGCCACGGGATGCAGACGCAGAAGGGCTCCCCCGAGGCCCAGGCCGCATTCCCACCCGCCATGCTGGCACACGCACATCCTCGCGCCGAAACCTGTGTCCCCGCCAGGAGCGCGTACCCCGCCACACCCCGTGTCCTCGTGGCTTCTGAGTGTGCCCCACTGCACCCCGTGTCCTCGTGGCTTCTGAGTGTGTCCCTGCCGCACCCCGTGTCCTCATGGCTTCTGAGTGTGCCCCACCACACCCCGTGTCCTCGTGGCTTCTGAGTGTGTCCCACTGCACCCCGTGTCCTCGTGGCTTTTGAGTGTGCCCCACCACACCCCATGTCCTCGTGGCTTCTGAGTGTGTCCCACCACACCCCATGTCCTCGTGGCTTCTGAGTGTGCCCTGCCACACCCCATGTCCTCGTGGCTTCTGAGTGTGCCCCGCCACACCCCATGTCCTCGTGGCTTCTGAGTGTGTCCCTGCCGCACCCTGTGTCCTCGTGGCTTCTGAGTGTGTCCCTGCCGCACCCCGTGTCCTCGTGGCTTCTGAGTGTGTCCCACTGCACCCCGTGTCCTCGTGGCTTCTGAGTGTGCCCCGCCCACCCCGTGTCCTCGTGGCTTCTGAGTGTGTCCCCGCCGCACCCCATGTCCTCGTGGCTCCTGAGTGTGTCCCCGCCGCACCCCATGTCCTCGTGGCTCCAGGGTGCCAGTTTTCCCTGAAGCTTTCCGGCTCCCACCGCCTTGCCCGGGGCAGAGGCCTGTCACCCCGGCCTTCTGCGTGACGGGAAGCCGGCGTAGGATCTCAGGCGCTGTTGGACAGCTCTCCACAGGCCTTCATCACACCCCAGGCTGGCTGCATGGTTCTTGATTGCCAGAGGGCCCAAAGGTTTCGTTTTGGTTGAAATAGAGCCCAAATGTCAAGCAATCGGCTTGGTTTTTTAAAAAAAGAAAAAGCTTCACAGCTTGAGTGGTCAATGCAGATAGAGCCTGGCAGCAGAACACACACACACAGACACACACACACAGACACACACACACAGACACACACACACAGACACACACAGACACACACACAGACACACACACACAGACACACACACACAGACACACACACAGACACACACAGACACACAGACACACACAGACACACACACACACACACACACACACACACACCTTAGTCCACAAATAGAATGGTGCTAGGATTTGCCAGAAAAATGAGTACATCTCAAAAGCCTTGTGTGGGAGGAAAGTAAATGAACTTCAGTGAAGAGGCCACCTCAGGGCAGGAAGGGGATGATGTTCATACAGCAGCTTCTGTGATTGTGTGTGTTCCGGGACTGGGGCTTGAACCTGGGTGCTGTTTCTTAGTTTCTTTGATCCAGACTGGAGCTGTACCACTTGACTACCCCTATACTTTCAACTTTATGGTGGTTCATTGGAGATGAGAGTCGTGAACTTTCTAATCTGGGCTGGCCTTGAACCTCGGTCCTCAGATCTCAGCCTCCTGAGTAGCAAGGATCACAGGCGTGCGCCACCCACGCCTGGCTAGCTTTACTTTTCTTAACTGAAGAAATGGGCACGGCTGCTCTCCTGTAATCCCAGCTCTGGGAGGTTGAGGCAGGAGGCTCTCTCGGGCGCCGTGATGAGACCATGTCTGTGCTGTGCGTGCTGCTCGTTCCCCGCAGCCCCCTTCTTTCCTGCCCACTGCTCTAGCATGAGATGCAGCTGTGAGAAGTGCACACATGTGTGCGTGTGCATGCATGCACACATGTGTGCGTGACTCGGTCTTTGAGTGTTTCACAGAGTGATCCCTTCTAGAACCTGCTGTCTGCCTGTTCACAGAACCACAGACACCTTGTTGCTCTAGGGCGGCCTCTGGTCCAGCCTGATGGGGGGCATGGCCTCTTCAGAGGCCCAGCTCTCTGCCTTCTCTCTTGGACTGCCTTGCTTTCCCCAGCCTAAATGATATGGGTAAATAAATACATTTTGTCCTTGGCTACTAATGAGTTTCCTTGCTCTCCAGGAGAGACTGTAGTGCCAGACCGCCCACCTCTCCTGTGCAGAGCCCCTGCCGGTGTGGGTTTGGCAGGCAGGGGAAGGCGGGGTGGATCTGCCCACCTGCACCCCCACCCCCCAGGTCCTTCTCCCCCCTTTGATAGGAGGGTCTCCAGCTCTCTAAGCAGTGGCACACGGGCCTTTGTGTATGGGGTCCGTTTCCACTTCTTCGTTAGAGAACCGGACAAAAAAAGTGGGAGACAAGATCCTCTTGTCTTAAAATTGGTAGCCACTCATTTTACTCTTAGGCATGTACTAATTGTTTGTATTTGTAAATACTTGCTATGTGTTCATGGAGTCCTTATGCAAAAAAGACAGCTGAAGTTACTCCTTCAAACCTTAAATTATCGTTTGGAAAGAAAGCAGGATGGAATGGCTCCATCTTCCCCGTACCTGGGGTTCAGCAAATGCAATCCCAACACCTCCTCTGCGTGGCAGGCCTGGGTCTTGGGGGCGCGCCTGCTCTCACTTCCCACTTAGTCTGAGTAAGGGAGGAACCAATTTTCCTGGGCCACACTAATGTGTCTCTCTCTGAAATGTTGGGCCTTGTCAGCCACCGAGTGAGGCTGACACAAGCCTGTGTGCCGTGAAACCACTCCTTGCCAACACAAATAGGAAGCCCGGGCGGCCCTACCTCCCGTGAGCATCTGGGAGCACTTGCAGATACATTTGTCGTTGTCCGCATCCTTTGTGCTAAAGTCATTTCCTGGTTGGCTAATGCTGCTTATTTTGCCCGCCGTGCCTGTGAGTCCTTTGAGGTGAATCCTGTAAGCATGCAAAGGAAAAAATAAAAACTGTAATTGGCTTGGGCTGTTGATGGACCGTAGTGGAAAACTTTCCATGGCGAAGAATTCCATTCTACCCAAGGGCGACCTGTGCTGGTCCGTGCGCCCCAGTGCCTACTCCGAACAAAATATTTTGCACTGGTATAAACAGGAACCAACTTATCATCAACTCCTTCAGCACAGGGGGATGTTTGCGAACTTTAACACATAGCGCCTGCACAAATATCAGCAGGGACTCTTATTTTCCCACTGCTTTGCGATACACAGAAGAAGGACCCCGAGGTAGAGAAGTGCACAATGCCTGTCCACCTCAGACGTCATCGCTTCCCCCAAGGGTGGGGGTGGGGTGGGGAAGGAGGCCGAATAGGGTCCTCACGTTTGGGATGGAAGTCTATAGAACTGCATGGAAAATACTCCTGAGGCTGCCTGGCCCCAGTTCTATATTCTGATGTCATGAGCCTTCCAACCTTGGAAAAGAAATAAACGTCGTACTAAGACACTACTAGGTAATGGCCCACGCCTCTCAAACCCTGCACAGCCGGGACTCCTTCCCCCCACACCCTTGGTGCCACAAGGAGAAGCCAAAGAAAGCGCGGAGAGCCCATGATTTCAAAATGAAGCCCTGGAGATCCGCATGCCCCACGCCCCACCGGGCGGTTAGGGCAGGAGGGGCCTGGCTGGCATCCGCACGGCCAGGGCGGCTGGGGGGACGGGCCGTCTCCGGGTTGGCACGCAGCGCTGTGCCGTGTCCAGGCACAGGAGCCAGCCGCCCACAGAGCAGAAGCCCACAGTGGCGTTAGGGCCCGGCCCTCTCATCACCAATTTCACACTGTGTCGTCCAGCCCCCGCCCGGAGCGTGCTTGCATCCCAGCACCATGTCTGGGAAGGAGCGAGGTCCCGGGCTGCAGGCACTGACGCACGTGGAGTGCCCATGGCGACCTCCGTACACCTGCTGCTCGGGGTCAGCCAGGAAGGCCATTGGAAGCTCCCTCAGTCCAGTCCCTCTCCACCTGGCCAGGCCTGACCTGACCCGCCGCCCTGCACACTCCTTTAACTCCTGTCTCCCTCAAAAGGTTAGTTAGGTTAGTTCTCGTGACTCTCCTCCAATGTCCCCGGAGGCGAGCGGCTTAAGGAAGAATGCCGTTCATTTAGTTAGTCTACGCTTGGAAGGCTGACAGATCCTTCAGCCGTCCACTAGCCTAGCACGCTTTCTTACAAACTTTGAGTTTGGAAAGTAGAGCCCCACCCTCAGGCTTGCTCTCAGGAGACCTGGTTGATTTTGTATGGCCATGAGGGGTGGCATGTGACTACCTAACAGTGAAATCTCCGTGTTTGTAGGAAGCTGCCAGAACGTCTGCGGAAAGGGACCCATTTAAGAGTTAGTCCAGTTTTATTAAAAGGACTCCATGCTGTCGATTCATTTACCCATGTCTCATAACATGTTTTCATTTATCCAACAGCTAGGAATAAGATTCCCCCAAAGAATTCTTCGGGGGAATAAAAGCAGATGCTGAACACAGACAGCATGTAGAAGCCTTCAGAGTCGCCCACAGTTTCAGTACATCACACTGGCATCATGCTTTATTAGGGTGATAGTTTTTTGCCATGTGAAGTAAGATTTAAGCCAGCGATGGGGAAGGGTTGCTGAGGGTAGTCCTGGGTTTGAACTCAGGGCCCTGTGCTTGCGAGGTTGGCACGCTGCCCCTCGGGCCACATTCTCCAGCCCCAGTGTATACTTTTTAAATGGCAGATCCAAAACTGATGCATTCCTAAAGATTCCTAAAGGAAATATCTGCCAAAAACCATCTCAGCTTAAAGTATTGTTATAAAATGTCAGCATACGAGAGTAAGGACCCATTTTGTCAAATCTTCTTGTGCAAACAATCTAGTCCTTAATTTTGTGTCCTTTCTTCTTTATTTTCTCTGATTTCTCCTAATCATTGCCAGTAGAGAGAACACTGAGCGTGGAGGGAAGTCCACGCGGACTCCTCCCGTGTTCTGAGCTGTCTAAGTCTCGGGTCTGCATCTCCCTGCAGTCATGCCCCTGCTATCTCCGTATTGAGCGGTGACAGACACTGAATGCCTCATCGACTTTCAAACACCATGTCAGAGTTTCTCAAAACAGGCTTCTGAATCTTTGTCCACTGCCTCTAAAGCTGGTCGCGTAGGCGTCATTCCGCGCCCGGGCCCTGGGCTCCCAGCCGGCCGGCCCGCGCTGCCCGCCCTGGCATTTACCCGGGGTGCAAGGGCTTTTCACTTGAGTTTGCTCTCCCCACGGTCAGAGGCGGGCACTCAGGAGACGGACTGCCACCGAGGCGCGTCCAGCAGCAGCACTCACGCGCGCGTGCCCACACAGCAGGGTCTCATCGCACCCACAATCCCCCCCCCCGGGGCTGGCTTTGGACTCCCGTGGGGCTGAGCTGGCCACAGCTGTGGTGCCTCTGGCTGCTCTCCACCCTCTCCCGTCCAGCACGCCCAGCACATCTGGGGAAGGACGTTCTCCGTCAGCGCGGCACCTGCCCTGGGACGTTCAGGCTGCTGCCCCAAAGGGTGGGGAGCTGCTGTGGATCCAGAGTACCTCCGTCTGGAGAGCAGAGGGGTTGAGGAGCCGTCCCGCCCAACTGGGCCGGTTTTTTTCACTTGGCAGCTAATCCTGACTGAACAAAACGGCTTCACGTATTTCACCTTCCAAAAATAGATTCCCTTTGGAAGAAAATAGTAAGCCGTGGGTATCTGCCAGCCATAACGTATGCTACAGGACACATGAGACATGACACAGTGCCTGATACAGGAACACATTGACATTCACTTACTCTATGCTAGCTGTGAACACCCCATGTTTGCACGCAAGATCTAGTCTTTGAGGGTGCACGGAAAATATGGCTGAAGGCCATGCTCAGGAGTTTCCTTTGTATTATGTGAATTAAAGTCAGAATTTTATAACTCGGATTCAGCAAAGGCAGCAGTGACTCTGCAAACAAGGCAATTTAAGGTCACCTGTGTCTAGATCTTGATTGAATGGCTATGGAGGGCTCTTGTGTTCTGGGGACCCCCCCCCTCCGCCATGAGGTCCTGTTAAGGCCTGAAATTACAAATGACTTACCTGTAGTTGAGCTCCTCACTGGACAGATAGAAGTGTTCGTAGAGCGAGTAGGCCTCGTTCCCCTCCCAGTCCTTCAGATGGATCTTCAGCACGTAGCGCTGCTCATTGGTCAGCCGTGAGACAAACTCATTCCCCAGCCAGTACTCTCCTGAAGGACTGCCAAACCCCTGGGAAGCAAGGGATGAGATTCCATTACTTTACTTGCTGTCCCAATGCATCTAAAATCAGTTCATCAGTGAACTGTGGAATGACAGCAGAAATTAGTTAGTAAAAATTAATTAGTACTGGGGAAATATGGGCTCTTTCACTTAGGAAATGGGGGGGTGCATATAGGAATCTCACAGACTTTTCTGCCCAGGCTAGCTTCCAACTGAGAGGCTCAGATCTCAGCTGCCAGAGTAGCTAGAATTACAGGCGTGAGCCACCAGTGCCTAGATGTGGTAATTCCTTTAAAGTGCTTCTAGTAAACCGGGACCTGGGAAACAGTTATTCCAGGTACTGGGGCTTGATTTGAATTCAGGGCTTGGGCACTGTCCCTTAACTTTTTACATCAAGCTTGGCACTTTGCCACTTGAGCCACAGCTCCACTTCCAGCTTTTTGATGGTTAATTAAAGTTAAGGGTCTCGTGGACTTTCCTCACCGGGCTAGCTAGCTTCAAACTGTAATCCTCAGATCTCAACCTCCTGAATAGCTAAGATTGCAGGTGTCATCTTGCACTAGGCTCAGGAAATCGATTTTAAGAAGATTGGCTTTGAGAAACTACACTGTTCTAGAAGAAAATTAGTATTAATGAGAACTGTCTGAGGGGCCTCTAGCAGAGACAGGAGTGTGAGAGCTAAATGTTAACGTGCGAGGCCCTGTGTCCCGGCGCTGTAGGCTGGGTTTGGATACACAGTTCCAATCACTTGGACTGGAACATTCTTCACTGGAGACTGAAACACTAGCTGGAAAGAATTTTCCTAAAACTCTTCAAAAGACATTAGCTAATTTGGGATTTGGGATTAAGGTTCTGAAGATGTTGACAGTGTTCACAAAGGAAATGATTTCTTTGGAGATGGCGTGAGTATATCCGTACCACTTTATACTCTTTCCACGTCCTCTGGAAGTCCACACTGCCGTCCTCGCGGTGCTGGATGACCGTCCACCCGCCTCCGCCCGTCTCCATGTCGCAGTAGGCCTGCAGGGGAGGGCACAGTGAACCAGGGCTGGGCAGGAGGGGTATAGGTGCTGGTCCTGAGACAGCTCTGCGGGGTCCCGGGGACAGCACCCCTGGCAAAGCTTGGCTCTTAATTTTTAAACAATAGGTTGGGAATATTTGAAATGATAATAACAAAACATAGGGATATAATCCAATATGCTGATGAAAATACAACTTTCTGGTCACCCTCTGTTCCAGGGTAAATAGCCCAGGGCCATAGCCCAAGACTGGTAGTCTGGGGAGATTCGTTGTCAATGGGCCAGGGTAGCAGAGAGGCCCCTGCCATCTCTAACCCTGACTGCCTGCGTTCCCAGACCCGGAGGAGCCCTGGCTAGTAGCCCCTGTCCCGTTTTCCTGTCCATCCTGAGTACAAGGGCCAGCCCAAAGTGCCCAGCCCACGGGACCCACACTTGGCCAGACTGCCTCTGGGGCACCAGTTTGGGTTTCTCTGTAGTTTGCTTATGGCCTATGGTATTTTTCTCCCCAGATCTTCATTTACTTTTTGAGCAGACTCTGGATTTCAACTTTGTCCAGACCCAGAATTCTTTCTTGGGCTAAGGGCGTACATACTCATTTTCAACTCAACTCTTGTTTTATTATGAAATTCAAGACTCTAAAAATGAGATTTCATAAACAAGGTTTTCAATAATGAGGTTATAGTAGGACAAAAAATAGTTCACCAGAAAGTAAGATACATTCCCTAGAGCACATTAGGTAGGAAATGGTAACATGCTGGAAGGAAAGCATAAATATCCTTCCTTTGCTGTGTTTGGTGGTCTCCCGGGGAGTGAGGGAGAGTCTTTGGCCAGCTTACTGTGTGAACTGGTCTTGGCTATGAATTAAGATCGTAGGACAAGCACAAAAAGGGAACCAATAGAGGGCAGGATGCTGCCCTTTACCATACAAGGGGCAGGGGCTCACAGAAGCCAAGCAGGCCGCTGAAGTCTCCTGGCTCATGGAACTAGAATTCCTCCTCCACAGGGACCTTTCCCTCAGGATTCCTGTCTCTCCCCACAAAGATCACCAGCTCGTGTTGCCTTCCCCAATGACCATATTGTTTGGACATGAAAGACAATCACATTTTTAATGAGAACATTATTTCTCTGGTTTCAACCAATTGGTTATATAAACTTAATCTGCTGAAGGAAAGCCTTCACTCTCAGCCACCCTGCTTTGACATTTGTTTCCCTAAATATCATTCTCATGGCTATGACGTGTCACTCTCTTCCAAGCTCTGTGCCAGGTATTTTGCATCTGTTTTCTGCAATTTTGCAGCAAGCCAGCTGTGATAACAGCATTCTGAATTTTTCTCAGATGAAGTGATTTAATTAGACCTGATTCATTTTATCAGTCATTCAGTTATTAAATAGTGGGTAGGATTTAACTAAGGTCTCCTGAATTCCTGTGTAATATTTTTTCCACTATTTCATGCTGCAAATAACAGAGAAACCTGACCCTTCTGTTAATAGGCCAAAAGTCCCTCAGCCCAGCTCCAAGTTGAAATCAGTACATGAATAACACTGCTGCTTATGTGACTGTGGTCAACAAAGCGGTCAGTGCTGCTCCAGTCTATCTGTGGGTTCTGAGGTCCGTGTAGTAAACTCATGGAATGGGCGGGCTGGGCTCCGTCTCCCGGGGTTTGCAGAGAAGTTACCTCTGCCGTGTCCTAAATAGCAGATGTGACCCCTGCTGCATCGCACCCCCCCCTTACAACCCCTCCACCCCCCGGTGGTCTAAGACCATTTCATTCTTCTAAGCCAAATCACCATTGCGAAGTTAATGGTTATTGAATGATATTCAAAGCCATGCTATCTCTTGCCTGGAGTACAAGTTTATCTTGTTATGAGAGTCAGAGGCAAGAATGGGATTTCAAGAATCGCAGTGCATAGATGAGTTCAGCCGCATTACTGTTCTTCCTGGCTCCATCAGGGACCGTGACAAGGCTAATTAGAACTTTTTCTTAATACTCCATCCAGAAGTTTTGTTTAAAAAGCACAACAACAAATGATTTATAAAAACCAAAGAATTACGGTTCATTGGGTTATGAAACTTGCAGAGAGAGATAATGTTCAAATAGTTTTCCACATAGCCAGGAGATATTAGGTGAAAAATGATGAAGTAGATTGTATCAGGATCAGAAAGACAGAAGTTCTTGGGTAGTACTCAAGACCTGGCCACTCCAGTTACAGCAAACCTGGAGGCATTTAGTACTTGATTAGCGTGTGGTTGCCTGACTCAGGGACCTGACATCTTGCTATAAAGTTTGGTGCTTTGCAGGAAGCAATACCCGATTCAACTGTCAAGCTTCATTCAGCTCAACATGTTAGCTAAGTGACAGAAGAGCAAACACAGAGAGAGATAAGCACTAAGAGCTGAGTAGCCTCAGAAACTGAGGGTTAGGACTAGGAAGGTGGCTCAGTGGTAGAGTGCTCGCCTAGCATGCATGAGGCCCTGGGTTGGATTCTGCAGTACCACATACACAGAGAGATAAAAATTTAAAAATTAAAAAAAAAGAAATGGAGGGCAAGAATCTGAGGCTTCTAATTAGCAAACACAAATAGTCTCATACTTCTCATGAATAGTATGTATGTTATAGAAAACCTTAATTAAAAAAAGTAAAGTTTCAGTACTCAGCCTTTTGTTTAAAAAAAAAAATCTGCCCAAAGAAACACTGAACATTGTGTTCTGGAGTCGGGTGACTCAGGGCAGAAGTGTATACCGGGCCTGCAGAGATGTCCCGTGCTCTGGGGGTGGACCGCGCCCCAGGCGAAGGCCAGGACCCGCCCTGGGCACTGAACATTGATCGTCCCAGCCCCCCCCCCCAGAGCATGCCGGAGGCTCGGGAGACTCATCCTGTGGGTATAGCGGCACGTTGACGCCAGCCCATCCAGACGGGTCCAGCACCCACACTGGGAGGGAATGCAGAGGTAACCTAACCTAGACCATTTATATGAGAGCAAAGGAAAGTTGCTTGCTGTGTAAATGAACTGACTTTCACTGCAAACTAAATCCTAACGTTTCCAGCCAGGACCTGAGACTCACAGGACCCCAGAACCGTAGACCTTTCCAGCTTTGCAGAGTGTGTTAGTGAGGGAAGGGGCTGAGGGGCCGCCAGGGTAGGGGCCTTGTGCTGAGCCAGGCAAGCAGTGCTCCCGCGACCAGGGTCTGCATCGAAACTGTGCTCCTCCCCAGACCCAAGACCAGAACACACTGATGGCTGCACAATAACGTAAAACGCCATCCTGCAACCCAGACGGCCAAGGGGACCGAAAGGCGGTGCCTGGGACTAATTGCTTTTCAACTGGAGCAGACGGGTTTGTGCTTTTCCCTCCTCGGACCGCCCTACTTCCAGGCTGCTGGGGACATTAACTGACTTTCTAGGTTGATTTAAAGCAGCATGAATGAATTAGAATGCTTTCTTTGGAAGGCAGAATCTTCAATAGCACAGTACTTATCTCTTAATTCATAATCAAAGTGTATGTTACCAGTTCAAATTCCACATCTTTAAACCCTTAAATGCTTGTGATTTTCTTTGATACCTTGTTCAATGCTGAAGCTAATGCTAAGTTCAAAAAGACTATGTCCAGGAGAGTCTGCAGTTTCCACTTTGACACAGTTTCTAGAAGGTTGTGTTGTGTTTGTTGGATGGAGCTGCTTCTGGGTTTAGGGGTGACCATGTTTGCAGACAATGTGCACAGCCCTTCACACTGATTCTCTTGCGGTGTCATTCTGCCTTCTCAAACACAGAGAGGCACGCAGAACTGCTTCCGGCGGGTGGGGTGATTTTCTTTAAGGCAGAGCCCTGGCGGTGTCAGGAGACAGCCCCGGTCAGGCGGAGCTGTGTGGAAACCTGGCCTGCCCAGCAGTGCTGGGGCAGCAGCGTCCGCTTTCCACACATTTGAGACTAAAGATGAGCGGAAAGGGCTTCCATTTGCTGTTGTTTGCTTTGTATTTTTCCTGTGTGCCTAACAGGGCTTCCGCTCATGCTCCACTGAACCATACTCGACTTCCAGCTTCTTGCTAGTTAACAGGATATGAGTCTTGAGGGTGTGTCTTTGTGGAGTAGCTTCAAACTTTGATCCTCAGATCTCAGCCTCTTGAGTAGCTTGGATTACAGGCATGAGCCACCAGCTTCTGATTTTCTTGAGGTGTTTTGTTTCCTTCCTTATGGAACACAAACATTCCTTGAAAGAATGATCGAAATAAAAGCTAATACACGGAAGTACCACATTGATGCCCCTCGCTTTATAATTAATACGTGTTCATAGCTTTTTTTAAGACCAGCTATATTTTATTCGCATTTAAGTTTTTGGACATTACCTGCTTTAAAATGAGTGAAGTGAGCCTCCACTTTAAGTTGACTCATTCAGAGTGTTTCCTGCTGTTGTTGACATTAAGATAGATCTCTACACCATTCGCATGAAGGGTCACTGTTCCCTGAAGAGCCAGCCACCTCACAGCCCTCAGCCAGTGCTTGGGAGGGGCTGCTCCCCAGGCCTGGGAGGGAGCCCCCCATCCTGGCATGCCGCACTGGGAGCCAGGAGCGAGGTAGGGAGGTCTTACCTTTACCTCTTCCGTGGAGTTGGGAAAGGTTAGTGTGTAGATGCCGCTGGTGGTCAGTCCTGATTTGAAAACTTCAGCACAGTCTCTGAAAACGATCTGTTCTTCTTTCACAGAAAAGGAGCTCTTGGCTGCATTTATAAAACAGAAAGGCATTTAAGTAAAATTCGTAGAGCATGAGCTCCTCAAAGCTGGACACTGTCTTGGTCCCCCCGCTTCTGATGGCTACCTTTTCTTTTCTCTGAGCATGGGGGGAAATAAGATCTTTCTCGGTAGAAGAGAGCGAAACGAATTGGAAAACACACACTGCACACTGCAAGCCACAGCCGCCCTGCATGTCAGGCCTGTGGTCGTGCTGCTGTCTGTGGACGTGGGCGCATGGGCACGTCGTGAGGCCTCTGAGTCACAGCGGGAGAATGCATGGGCATGTGCCCAAGCTCTGGGGGTGGCAAACGAGGGACTCACACCCGTGAATCCTGATTCGTAAGCAGAGCAGACCCGTGTCCAAACAGTGCTTGTTGAGAGGAGATTGACACTGGACCATAGTAAAAGGTAGGCCAAACTGGGCTAGGTCACAAAGATTGTGCATCACATCTTATTTAATAAAGGAAGAGTCCTCCCTCCTTCCTCCAGTATGTAAGAGAAGCTGATTGATAGAACAGTAATGAAGAGGAAAGCAGCATATATTCAAGGACTCACTACAAATAGGACTTGCGCCTCCTTAGGGACAGTTTTTTTGGGGGCGGGGCCTTGTCGAAAAAACAAATCAATGAAGACCCCAGTCCCCCCTCTAGTAGCTTCCCAACCTTGCTCATCCAGTGATGGAACAAACTCAAAGGAGCATTTTTACAGACGTGAGTCCAAAGTATGTGTGAGCGGTTTTGCTCACATAACACTTAATTAGCATGATGCATATTTCCTCTCCCCCCTCTCTTCTTCCTTTGCCCTTGGCTCTGTCCCGAGACCCCCACTGAGCTTGACTACGAAATACAGAAGGGCAACAACACCACCTCTGGAAGATGAGGCATTAGGAGAGCTCGTGCGTCACAGGGGCCAGGGCTACAGCAGAGGCTGTGAGCCGTGAGCCACTCACAGTTGGAGGCTGCCATCAGGACCATGAGGTTGCTGACTTTCTCCATCAGATCGTGCTGCTGTCTCTGAAGGGCGGAGTTGTTCACGGTGGCCGTGAGCAGCTGCTTCTCCAGCTCCTCGATGACCGAGTGCTGCCTGGACACCAGCACCTGCAGCTGCTCCTTCTCCTCGCGCATGGACTGCAGCTGCACCGTGTGCTTACCCTCCATGTCCAGCACCTTCTTCTCTAGAAAACTTACAGGGAAAGTTCCCGTTAGAACTCTTCAGGAACACACACACCAGAGCGAAGCATCACGTGCTCCCCTTGTTTGAAGACAGCGTGAAACCGGGGTGCGTGCCCCCGTTGGGAATCCTGGGGAGTTTACTGAAACCCTGCCCTAGGGAGCGACGCATCGGTGTGGCGTGAGCACCACATTTCCCTGAGTCGTCAGGGCAGCTCCTCATCCAGTCTGGACCACATCCTACTTTCCAGCTGTTGACTCAGTGGTAGAGCGCTTGCCTTGCATGCCTGAGGCCCTGGGTTTGATTCCTCAGCACCACATAAACAAAAAGAAAAAAAGCCAGAAGTGGTGCTGTGGCTCAAGTGGTAGAGTGCTAGCCTTGAGCTGAAGAGCTGAGGGTCAGCGCCCAGGCCCAGAGTTCAGGCCCCATGACCGGACCCAAAAAAAAAAGACATGCAAACTTTGTGCAAGGCATTCCTTAGGTCTTTTTTTTTTTTTGGCATGAGGGATTAAGAGACAAAACCATCATCAACCATAAATGCTGGAAATCCAGAAATCTTAATGATCTTCATATCGTCTAGCTAAAATTGGCAAAGCTCTTCTTCCACTGAAGAAGAAATACTGTCATAAAACGGTAGGGTCGGTACTGCGTCAGGAGTTACCACCTGGGAACATGTGGAGACCACGCGAATGCTTTGTCACCCAAGATGGGGCAGTAGAAGGAGCGTGGAGCCTGTAGTTGGTCCATGAACCGTCCAGCTGGTGCTTTTCCACTGAGTGAATATCTATCCTGGTCAGATAAACCTCTGTCTTAAGAGAAGGTGTTCGATTGGATGACCGCTGTGGCCCCTTCCTGGTCAATTAATCTGTGTAAGTATGAATGACACCCTCTTTCTCCCAAGGCCCTTCCGGTACAGCTCCAGAGGGCTGCTATATAGTGATCTCAAAAATCTAACCTTCAGATCAAATGTGAACTCAATTTAAGAAGGAAGCTCAGCATCATGTCATTCCATTCTAAACTGTGTCTGAGACGGATGTCTCCAGTGGGTTCAAGGGCAGATCCCTGCAGAGTCAAACCACCTGGTGTCTTGGGAATCTTATGTTAGCTCAGCATTTCTCAAAATGCAGATTGCACTCAGTCACAAGTGAATTTTTTAATAAGGTAACATGAAATGGAAATTTAAGCAGGTGAAATCCATGCAGAGTAAATTCATCACAAGGACTTTGTATATTGTAGCAAATACCATGGCCAAGTGCAGAAAGAAAAGAAGTGGACATTGACTTGCCTTCGGTAATCTGACATTTTTTTCAGTGTCATCTTCTTTGTGTGTGTGTGTGTGTGTGTGTGTGTGTGTGTGTGTGTACATACATGCATGTGCACAGACATACACCAGTCCTAGAGCTTAAACTTCTCCTACATGCTGTCTCTGAGCTTTTGTGCTCAAGGCTAGCACTCTACCAAGTGGAGCCACTTCAGGCTTTTTGGTGGCCAGTTGGAGAGAACCAACTTCCTGGCCCGGGCTTAGAACCAGAATCATCAGATCTCAACTTCCTGTGCAGCTAGGATCATAGACATGAGCCACCAGTGCCTGGATCTTATTTCATTTTTTGTTTGTTTATTTAATATAGGATGATCAGTCTGATCATCACCATAAAAGTCAGCTACAGTTTAGGTTTCCATTTGCAGAATTTGTGGTTATGGAACTGTGGGAGAAGTATCCTAAAGGCAGAAATACAAAGCGTTTGACTCGTCTTTGTTACGGTTTGGATAGGTGTGTGTCCTCCACAGGTCCCTGTGTTGGAAGCGGGAGGTGGAGGGACCTTGGGCAGATGGGGTGTCGGGAAGCCCTTAGCTTGGTGGGCAAGCCCCACAGGACTACAGCTGTCATGAGAACCCAGAGCTCTCTTCAGGACAATTAGGAGTGAGCACCTCCCCTCTCTATTTCCTTGTGATCTCTTCCTCCCACACTAGCTTTTGATAATGCGGTGCCACATGCAATTAGATCCTCACCACAGGCCAGCCCAATAGGGCCTGGAGAGGGCCCTAGTCTTGCTGTAAGTCTTCTACTTTATGCCTCTTGTTGTATCTCTTCAGAAGGGCAGGGGGGAGGGGGGCACAGGGGCGCAGAGTACGCATGGTATCATGTTCAGAGCCAGAGCTACTTAACTATAGACACAGCCCCGTAAATTAGTCATTTATGTTTAAAAGAAATAGTTGAAAGCAGGCACAGACTGGCTCCTTCAGCTGGTAAATCTAAAAGTACAGTAGTGGCTACTTGGAAAGAACTGTTGTTCTTCGTATTTTGACCTTGTTTAAACCTATTCTCTAAAAGCATTTGTACTTTGGGTAGTTGATGATTACTGAAAATAGTATTGTCACCAGGCACTGGTGGTTCATGCCTGTCATCCTAGCTACTCAGGAGGCTAAGATCTGAGGATCACAGTTCAAAGCCAGCCTGGGCAGGAAAGTCTGTGACACTCTTATCTTCAATAAACCACTAGAAAATCAGAAGTGGCGCTGTGGCTCAAGTGGTAGAGCTCTAGCCTTGAGCTGAAGAGCTGAGGGACAGCGCCCAGTCCCAGAGTTTAAGCCCCACAACCAACAAAAAAAAAAGAAAGAAAGAAAATAGTATTTGTCAAATGTGGAGCGCCATTCACATATCTTTATAACAAAGTTCTTAGGCTAGTCAAAATTTAATGCAGGAAGCACTCATGGAAATAGGTAACATCCAAAAGCTTCCTATGTATTTTTTTAAGTTATTAGTAAAAAGAGAGTATTAGTGCCTTGTTTTAAAAAAAGAGAAGAGCTGATTTCTGTGCCTTTGGGTATTGTTCTTCCCCCCGGAGTGGGTTTGGCTCCATAAGGTTGTTACGGTGAGCCAGAGCATGAGCAGAGAGCTGTGCTGGGAGGTGGCTCCAGTCGCCCCACACTGAAGTAGATGATGCAGCCACGCTGAAGGGCACTGCTTAGACGGCACACGTTACATATGTGTTTCATATGTTTGACCAGGTACTCTTATGGAGAAAAGGTGGTAATATTTAAATTTAACGCTATATAAAACTAGATTTGAATTACTGGGAAAATTCATCACTGGTCCATATAAGTTAAACGAGAGGGAAACGTGAAGGATTTAAGTTCAAAAAAAATTGCAAAGGATCATCTAAGCAAGGATTTGCAGGAAGCATAACAAGTTACAGTGCGGTGGAAATCAGCCTCCTGTACGCTGTAAAACCTTGATGTGTTAGGAAATTTAACCAAGTCGTGAAATGATCCAAAAGCAGGTTTCTGAATAGTTGTCTTTGTATAGCAAACTGCTTGATGTAAAGCAGTGTGTCAAACGAAGAAATGAGTCACACTGTGCTACATAAAAGGCAGCATGACTTGACAATACAGTTGACTCTTCGTGTGTAGAATCTGTGAATTTAGCCAATCTTGGATTAAAAATATTTGATATAAAACATACCCATGCATTCTTTTTTCCTTGTTAGTATCTAGGCATTATGAGAGACAGCTACTTACACGACACCTTGTGTGGTTACTTTGTGTGATCCAGAGATGGCGTGGGCCGGGCAGGAGCAGGTACATAGGTTACATGCGGATTTTGTGCCATTTTATGTAAGGATGGCCCTCCGTGGACTCTGGTATGAGAAGGGTTATGGAACTGACCCCCCGGGCTATGGAAGGATAACTGGCTTTACTAAGATTAGATGGCCTCACTGGTATGGTGATCAGAATTTTCAGTATTAGGGTAAGTTCAACCAACTAAGCAGACCCCACACCCTGAGGGACATAATTCTCGCAGGAAGCCAGGGCAGCTGCAAGCCTCCACGGGTCCCTGGCTCGCTACAACATGAAATTAGTGTTCTCCGTTATTGGCATCAAATTTTTATTTCCTACTGTGCAGCAGAGAAATCAGAAACATGAAAGAAAAATATTTGGGTAAGGAAAATCTATTGGCTTTTCAACCCTTAAATCAATAAGAAGTTGAGCTTGGTACCCACGAAGCAGAAAGAATTGTTTTTCGTTTAGTTCTGTACTTACAGTGAAGGGTTAGGAGAATGTTTCTCACCATTTCTGGTTAAGACTAAAGCAGTGTTTAAAACCCATGAACAGGAAAAAGGTATTGTGGTAACTGTTCTATATGTCATTGCACATCTCCATTAAAAACAAGAAAAAAAGCAGACTTTGCGTATGTGTAAAACCGCCTTCCTATATCCCCAGCCAGAAAAAAGCTGTGAAAACAGGCCTCCCCTGGCACATGGAGGTTTTAGTTCTGTATTGTTTATCTTGGGATTTTTTCCTGTACTTTATTTAAATATTAATAGAACCAATTAACATTTACCTTTGCCTTTGCTATAGCATAACTTTTTTTAAGTAACATCGTGGCATCATAAGGCAAAGACTTTACAATACTGCATAGGTGTAGTTTTCCTACTGTTAATCATTTTGTATTAAAAGAAACAAAGTCTCAAAGACAAAGACCCTTGGTAAAGTTAATATTAAAATGCTTGGCCAGTGTTTCTCTAAACCAGAGGAGTTTTTTGTTGTTGTTGTTGTTCTGTTTTTGCTTTGTTTTATAGATTAACCTGCAGGATAAAATATTGAGGCAGTCGGAAGGTTATAAGAGTCTCAGGAGCTACCAATGAGCAACAATAGCTAGACAAAATTACTTGTAGCTACAAGTTGAGACCTTTCCTTAAACTGCTCTCTGAATATTGACATTTCACCATTGTGAAAAATCACACTTATAATCAATAGTAATTAATAATTATAATTAATAGGTAGGATTTTGTTTCTGGAGAACATACAATTATGAACTGCAACTATTTTTATTACCTGTTTTTATCTTGTAATTTGTTGATTTCACTGGTCTGGTCCAAAATCTGTTTTTCTAATTTGTTGGTAGAAAGGGAATGTTCCAGAAGCTGAAGTTCAAGTCTTGTCGTCTGGTTGAGGACCTGAGGACAGTGAAATTCCTGGTTAGCGTTTGTAATCAGCAATCCCATACCCGCCTTTGAATTCAGTCATCCAATTATCAATTATTTATTAGCCCAAGTCTTCTGTTTTGGCATACTTTTCATTTTCATGCATTCCATCCACGTGTATTTCACACGTTGTCACATGTTTGGCTTTGGAAAGCATTTAACAGCTCTGGACTGTGGCATTTGTGTCAAGTAACATAATACTGCTTTTTCTGTGAGAGTCTAAGTGACCGTATTTCAGAAATCAAAATCTTATTTTTTCAGTTTTTTTCCTCACACAGAATGGTCTCGTGCGTCTTGTTTGTCAGTAGACAAAGGAATGAGAAGTCACATGCTTCCAGTATTTAAAAATACAGCTCACGTTTAGCCTGGCATTCGCTAGTGTGGCCCGCAGGATTAGCCTCTTATTTTCTCTTTGGCATTTTTCCTTTTCCCATTTAAAGCATCTCTTCAACCAATTAGGAAACAATAAGATCTCACTCTGAGGTGGAAAGTCACCTCGGCCCGCGGGCACCTGTGCCGGGTGACATGTGCGCGGTTGCCTTCCTATTGTGATCAGGCAACTCTAAAGACGGGCCTGGGCGCTGGCCGGCTTCCCGCAGGAAGAACCCATGACTCACGTCCTTGTGCCATGGCTTTGCAGGATGTGATATCACCTGTGAATGCAAGTCAGGACTGTCGCCAGATAGCAGAGTCCTTGAACAGTCACTGTTTGCTGGGCGCCTCTGCCGTGCCCCAAGCCCTGGCCTGGCCACCGCTGGCCGAAAAATGCCCGGTGAGTGAGCGAAGCTCTTGGGTGCCGGTCCTCACACCTGGGGCGTAGATTCGGGGCAAACATTCCATGTTGGCATTTCCCAAGGAGCTGGAGAATCAAAACTCCTATTGAATTCATAAGAATTACGAAATAACTGCAGTCCAGGAGACAGGCTGAGAAGGAAGCCACCTAGATCCTGCTTTGCCTAGGAGTCACCGCAGTGTCACACGTCCTTGTCCTCCGAGGCATGAGCTGCACGTCTCTTGGGACCTCCATGCTAAGGTGACAGCCAGGTCAGGTGATGGCTTCCGCCACCTTCTCCAGCCACCCACCAGGGCCCACTTCCCAGTCTCTCACTGTGACCGGCCGTAAGAAGCTAAGCAGAAATACTCTTACTCCGTCGCTTACCTGGGCTTCCACGTCAGTCAGTTTCCGTGTTTGCTCCGCTGTTTGATTCAGCAGGTTCGTCCCAATTTCTATCATCACAGCGGTCTGATTCTGCACTGCATTCTGCTGGACCTCTACCATTTCCTTCTTCATGTTGTCCTGGATGTAACTCTCAAGCTAGAACAGAACAAGCATGAGGAAGACGGGGGTGAGGTCAAGCAGTCGGAAACCTTATCCTCCTGCCTGCCATCTTCTCCCCTGTGAAGACCACCGTTTGGTGACCAGGCCTTGCCCTGGGAGAAAGTGGATGTGCAGGGTTGAAATCTGTGGGGTGGTTAATGCATTGAGCCTCATGACTGGTGGGTTTGGTGAGAGGATTAGAACTTGAACCGTTCGTTTTCTGCTTCCGCTGCTCATTCACTGCGGACTCGTATATCCTTTCCTCTCTGCCTCAGTCTCCCTCTAACTGGTCCTGAGAGAGGTCCCTCCTCAAGGGCCCTCCCTCTGCTGCCCAGTACACCCAGTCAGGGCCAACCGTGGCAGGTCCCCCAGCTGCTCTGCTGCCCAGTACACCCAGTCAGGGCCAACGTGGCAGGTCCCCCAGCTGTGCTCATTTACAAAAGCTTGTCATAGGAGCCTGTGCTGTTACTTGACTTAAACTAGATCCGAATATTTATTTTTAAAAAGTCAGTCCAGCTTCCATCTCTCTACGGGTTCTATTTGGAGAATCCAGTGCCTTCCTCAAACTCTCCCCACATCTTGCTCAGGCTTCCTGGAGTCTGTGAGCTGCCCTAGCTCATTCTTTCTCTGTTAATTCCCTAACTATTTCCTCCTGCCTTCCAATAAATGGTAACTTTTATTATTGAAATTCGCTGTTTAAAAGAATTTCGCATAGCCAGTCCCCCCATCACCCTGGGAATGAAGGAATTTGTGAGGTTAAAGCTAAGGCCTGGCCTTGCAGAGGAGCTAGCTGGGTTACTTAGTTACTCCGAACACCCAACAAAGCGGGTGTTTATAGATTCATCCTGGGAAGTTGGGGAGTGTGAGTTTGTACCAGAGCTGTCGCTTAGTGTAGGCCCGTCCTTGAGAAATAGTCATTTTACAAACTAGCACACACAGAAATCTTAACCTTTTGATTTCAGTGCTTGAGAAGGAAATAAAAGCAGTTGGGTCTTTTCTCACCGCAAGGCACACAAGCTGGAGGGAAGACATGCCTCCTCCCTTCCACCAGCCGCTGGGTCAACTGTGGTTACAACTACCAAGGGACATGACAGTACTGCTTATAATTTGAACATTTTAAGGCAAGTTCCAATTTAAAATTAGACATAGAATCTTTAAAAGACAGGCAGGCCTAGTTTTTAGAAAGAAAATTTCCTGCCTTTATTGCCTTCCCTGTTTTTGGCTTGAAAACAATAGAATACCTTTTTTAAAAATTACCACTGGCCAGCTGCTCAGGATGGCTCCGTGTGTGCACACATATGTGTGTAATGTATGTGTGTGCATGTAGATCTTGGACTGTTGCAACTTACAGTATGTATTTACAGACAGGTGCCGTGTGTGCAGTGTATCTGTATGTCGCGTCTACACCGTGTACACCATTTTAAAAGCATGTCTCATTTATTTTTTGTTAACATCTGTTAGTGTACACAGGGGGTTTCGCTGTAACGTGTGCGTTTATGTATGAGGTGCATCTGTTTTGCTGTAACGTGTGTGTTTATGTATGAGGTGCATCTCGATCAGGGACACCTCATATCACTCTTCCTGCTTGTGTATTTAAATAAATACCACAGGAGACCGATCTTCCTGATTAAAACACTGATCATTTTCTCTCTTCCGGAGAAAAGGATTTGTGTTCTTACACTTGAAGTAGTAAACGTTAAGGTTCTGAGAGAAAAGGTGTGTGACCTGATCGTTGACCACTCTTGAAGAACAAAGACAGAGATACTTGTTCTTCAGAAGCCATGAGAGCTATGCCGGCCTCCTTGACAACAGCTAATGGCTGGGGGTTAACTGCCGTGTCTCAGCCACTCTGTAGAGTCATAGGAGACGCTAGGTGTCTAACTGAGACATGGCGTTAGTGAGCAAAATGGGAGTATGCCAGGGGCCACCTCTCGGAACCGCTGGAGCTGTCCTTCCCGGGGGGTGTCACGGTTTCTTAGCGAAGGACTTGCCTCCCCTCCCAGCCCCATCTTTTTATGTAGCTAAAGCTGGAAGGTGAGGGATTGACCGCGCCTTACCCCCAGACGGAGTGAGACACCAGTGCACAGGAGAGCTTGGCCACAGGCCTGTCCCCAGGCAGGGTATCCCCACCTAGCCTGGCGCCCCGTTTGGGACCTAACCGAAAGTACCCACCCCAGTGCCCCCAGTAATTACAGCCTGATTCTTACTCCTTTGTTTCCTTGGTAAGATCCAGAGAAGCCAGACCCCAACATAGAGCCAGACACACACAACTCTGTTCCCAGGCGCTGGCTCTGTTCCTCACTGCTAGCCTTCTACAGTCTGCACCTATGGGAGAGTGAATCCAGCCTGCTTCCCTTTTCCTTTCTCCTCCATTTTCCTAACACTTAGCAGCCGCAGACCATGTGGCGTTCATTGAGGGCCACTTTCACTAACAAGGAAACCTACAACACTTTATCTCCTTAGAGCATGACCAAAGAACTTGTTTGGGTTGGGTTTCTTTTTTCCTCCAAAAGTTAATTCTTAGAAATAGAAAAGAATATGTGTCCTTGACATAATGTGGCAATGAACATCTTTATTTAAATAAAGCCTTTTAGCCTTTCCATCAGTCAAACATCTCAAGAACGTAATTGAGAAGGAAATTCCTTTAGCTGATGCACTCGGATAGATGAGTGCTGGAGTTTCTGACTCTGGGCCTGGGTGAAGGTTCTTTCCTAGTTTGTTGCCCCGGGCTATCTTTCTGGTCTGTGGCTCTCTTGTTTTTACTGTCTGTGATTGCCACCAACAGTACAGAATCTGCTCGGTGAGACTGTATTCTGCTACAAGAAGTCTCTGTACATGGGACTGTCCTCCCACTAGCTCTCTTCCTGGGCACGCATTTCCCATCCTGGGCGTCCGCACTCAGCTGCTCTTACCAAAGACCATCTCCCAGACTCTGGCGCCCTTCCCTCAGGAGGGGCCAGGTCACACCCCTTTGCACAAGTTCACGTTTCTGAGGAATGGTTGACTTCACCCTCGTTGCTGCAGTGAGAGTTGTGGGCACACAGAGCCTCCACACAGGCTCTACACTCATGCGAGGAGACGCGTGCAGCGGGCCCCCGGCTACGCTTCACTCAGAGCCACATGCTCTGTTTGAGGGCCGAACCCGTTCTTGTTCTACTGTTGCACCAGTCTTGGTGCTCAGGGTTTGATTTGCCACACACACAAACACACACACACACACAAAGACCTGCACTCCTCTACCATGACCTTTAAAATTTGTCAACACCAGGAAGCCCAAGCAAGCAGAATAAAATATCTTAGCACACCACATTGAGAGAGAGAGTGGGAGAGAGAGGGAGGGAGAGCAGGAGAGGGAGAGGGAAGGGAAAATAGATTCTGGAGTTTTCTGTTGCTCCCCCAACACTTTGAGTGATCAACTCTGACAGGAGCAACGAGTCCATTAGTGGGAGAGCCGTGGCAGATGGGTCACGTGTTAAAATGTTCCCCAGCTGTCTTTCTCACCACGATTGTCTTCCTCATTTTTACACCAAAATAAAAGTCAGCTTGTAGCCGGCTGGCACTCCAGGAAAACATAGTGGCAAAAACGAAGTTAGCTTGGGATGCTGCTGCTGGTTCCTGACCAACTGTAGTTGCTGGTTGAGAAATTATGTCATTTCCATTTAAACAATGCCAAGTTCTTGTGTCCCTTTCACTCGCTAGTTTTTGTCCATTGGAGGAACCTAATTTTCCTGGAAAAGTAACAAATAATTTGAGGTTTCCTTAGAAAC